ACCATTAGGATACAAACACACGTAGTATACACACACACACACTTTGACAAAGATTGCACGTAATTCCTCAACTTTCACTTCACACCGCTTTGCAGAATGTATGTCTACCGCAGAAGGCAGTCGTCTCCGCCTTCTCCGGCTCATTGCCTGCGATGCTGGCCGGCAATCTGGTATGGAATATATGGAGCCCAGCTGGCGGAAAATGAGTCCAAACAGGCACATACACACAAGAGCTCTTGAGAAAGAGTTGTGGCTTGCCCATGCAAGGCTTGCAAAATAGAACTAGTCCAACCGTGAAGCTTGCTGCTTCCAGTGGTCGGGGCTGAACATGGACTTAGCCAACTCAGTTGGGCATGTAGGCACATCAATTGATCCACATTGATCCAGGGTTCAGAATGGTGGGTTCAATATGATCCCAATCAGGCATGCTGGTATGAACAAGGTTTCCACGAAAGGCTTCTTTCATCATGCCCGCACGCGCCCGTGTGCGGAGAGGTTCGATTCACTTCTTTATCAATATAACTGCAGGGCAAAGATGTTGTTCTTTGTTCGCAAACTGCCCACATCTATTGATTTGTCCCCGAACAAGCATGCGGTTGGGAGTGGCTGGCTTGAGAAAGTTCGGGTCGGTGGTCCCACCTAGCCTACTCGGCATATGGCAAGCCTATACCGTTAGCTGCCTGGCGCGATGGCTATTGCTCCGTATCAATTGGCTCTCTGGCAAGGTCTCGCACGGAGGAAAACACAACGAATTGACAGTTTCCTGATTCATAAGCAAAAGGACAATGAAAGGGGTTCACCAGCTTGCCAACAAATTGTCCGCTCACATAAAGTTGTCAAGGAAAACAATTGGCGGGAATCTATTCTGGGATTCAAAGGAACCTTTCCGCCTTGCCCTGGTGCGTTGTGTCTTCGGTAGCGGTACCCATCCCAACAGCAAAAGCTCGTGCTTGGTGCCTCCGAAGAAGTCGTTGAAGGTGATCTTGCCGGCCTGCGTGCCAGGCCAAGGAGTCTTGGGGTGTGCAACACGAGAGCCTTCGTTCCTCACAAACATGAGATGCTGATCTGTTTCGGCTGGTCTTGAGAAGCAGTTGAATAGATTTGTTTCACACCTGTACAAAGTTGCTGGACGATCACTGTACAAAGTTGCTGGACGATCTCCTTCAGCATCGTGCAACTGTGCCATGGCCAAAGAGTTAACGGACCTTTCAAAAAGGGCAAAGTAGAAAATATATCTTCGTGGTTTCCTCTCAATCCTTGTTGCTTGGCGGTGTAGATGGCTGAGAAACCTGGGACCAACGAAGCAGGCATTGCCCTGAGAAAGCAACAAGAACAAGGCCACAGCCGTCAGTGGCCCTCGGGGCTATCCAAATGTCCAAAATAATTGTCCAGTGATCGACCTCACAAAAGCCGATATTGTGAAGCCTTGCTGGATTCAAACGCACCGCTGAATAACGCCACTGTGGGGAAACATGTACAGCCAGCAAGCAAGCGAGCAAGCAAGCAGGCAGGCAGGCAGCCAAGGAAAGGCAAGGCCCAACAGACCAACAAACCAACAAACAAACCAACTAAAAACCAGCAGACCCACAGACCGACCAACCAACCAACCGACCGACCGACCGACCGACCAACCGACCAACCAACCAACCAACCAACCAAAAACCAACGGACCCACCGACCCACAGACCGACCGACCGACCAACCGACCGACCAACCAACCAACCAACCAACCAGCCAGCCAGCCAGCCAGCCAGCCAGCCAGCCAGAGAGCCAGCCAGCCAACCAGCCAACCAACCAACCAAAAACCAACAGACCCACAGACCCACAGACCCGCAGACCAACCAACCAACCATCCGACCGACCAACCATCCGACCGACCGACCAACCAACAACCGACCGAGCGACCAACCAACCAGCCACTGCTCGAGCAAGGTTCTTTCTCAGTGGAACATGCTGCCAACATTCGTGCCTCGTCATCATCATCTCCAGCCTCAGCGCACAAGAAGAAGCATATCTACTGCCAAGTGTCTGGCTCTTAGGGCATGCCACGCAAGAAGCGGGGGGGGGGGGGGGCCACTGGATTGGACATCTTTTCCCCACTGGCTTGAAGGTACGAGACGTTCGGAAATAAGGTCTCAAAATGGGCATGTTCCCTTCTGGCGTCAAAGGGAATCCAAGGAACTATTGGAGAGTATTGAAGATTGCCTAAGTTTGAGACATCCCCAAATCGCTTCAAGAGGTTTGGTTGTACATCATGCTGCCCCTCTTCCCGGCATCGCGCTTTTCTGCGGGAACTTCGCGCCTCAAGAAGGTCGAAGTCGCTTTCCTCTGCATCCTCGTCTAACCTGGCGAACGAGGTCATGGACACCACAAAATTTGAGGGAATGCCCTCTGAATCTCCTTTTGTTGTTCAACCCCAACCGAAAGACATGTTAGATCCATGTGAAATCCGCTCAAGAACACGGAAAATATCAACTTTCGCTTTCGGGTCGCGTTCTCAGCTTGCAAGTGGTAAACTAGATCCTGAGTGGGAATAGGCCCTGACTAACAAGAAGGAAATGGGTCGAATGGTGGTGGAGACGACAGGGTGCGGGATAGGAAGAAAATGAAAAGCAAGAAACAATGAGCCAGGATTGGAGCTGATCATTTCGGGTTTCAGGTTGAAGCGGTGGTTCCAAGTGATTGAGTTTGAGAAGGTGGATGCCCTTCCAAATTGTTGATTAAACATACGAGTAGGAAACAAAAACAACGGACCCCAAACTCAATTATAAGATTATAAGTCAGCCATCCCCATCTGGGTACTTCCCCCAATGCCTTCGGGCTGCCCAACAGGTCTCCGCTCACCCAGAAACCGACAACCGTAGCACTTTTGCTTTGCAAGAGTCCGGCCTAGCACACTCAGTAAAGTGGGGTTGGGGGTAATTCATCAGAACTGTGTGCTGAAAACAATGCACACACACACATGCCCACAAAATGAACGTATGTAGTTCAACTCTGGCGGCAATGGCGGGTCACTTCCTTATGGACATATTGTTCCATTGCGCGTCCCAAACTGCAAAAGATTGACGTGGCACAAATCGCTCAGCGTTCAGCAAGGCTGGTACTGACAGCGTCCAAAACCAGAACGCGTCAGGCATTACAAAAGCTTGGTGGGACTGCTCGGCAGTGCATTCAATGAAACCCTCCAAAAAACCCTCAAGCTACGCTGGTCACAAAGGCAGGTATCCGACAACCAGGGTCACCTTCTGACGCACAGGTGATTGGGTTCATTGATGCGGAGGCTGGGAGACCTAGTTAAGGGCTCCCGAGCTTTCCTCGTCTCAGCATTCGTCGACTTGGAAAGGTAGCTCCAGTTTTCACCCATCACTTTCAAGGTTTATCAATCCCGACTCCCCAGTCCAAGCAATAGTTGAACCCTGTTCAAACCGCGAGTCTTTCCGAGTCCTTGCAAATCACCGAGGTCTTGCTTCGCCCAATCTGCACGAAAAAAAGCCAATGCCTTTTGATTTGCGCAGTTGAAAAGGCCACCTCCAACCCTTGAAAACAAGGGAAACGACTCCCCAACCAAACGGATACCCAGAATGTTGGAGGGTCGAGGGTCTGCCTCACCAAAACCACGCCTCATCTTGCCATCATCCGCCATGCTGGTAAACTTCTCCATGTCCTCCATGCTGAAGAAGTCCTCCGGAAAGCTGCAAGTTGTTGTTCACGCAACAGTTTGCTTGAAGCGCTCAAGCTAAGAAACCGCAAAAGACCAAAAGCCAGAAGTTTCATGGTGATGTCATTGAGGCCTCGGCAATCGTGCAATGAACGTCTGGTCTCGTTTAATCAGTCTCTGCTCACTGCTGGCTGCTGCAACAACAATTTCGTTCCACACCAAGCTTGCCTGCATGCTGGCAGTTTTCTAAATTGACTTCACATGCGTAATGACATCTAGGGGCTACATAATTACTTTTCTTAGAACCACACAAATGCCAGCCTGTGCTTAAAAAGTGTTCTTCATAGAAGCTGTTCATCTTGTCCGCACTGACTTGTGCCCCTCATGTTTTGCTTGTTTCCTTTGCAAGGATCATTGTCCCACTGACATGCCGAAGCACGACCGCGGACTCACTTAAAGAAGGTAAGCGGCAAGCTTGCCAGCATTGCCAACATTGACAAATATTGTCGAAAGGCACATGCTTGATGACCAGCAAGTGGGGGGAGCAAATGAAAGCCCCCAATGGCGACAAAGAACTCATAGTTGAGGGGGCCTGTAGATAAGTGAGGAACCACTTGTTCAAGAGGCCAGCCCAGTGAGACGAAAGTAATATTCGGTGCGCGGAAAGCCACACTATGTCCTAGGAAACTAGATCAGTATGTATAGTTCCCTTTCAAGGAAGCCAGTCAGCAAAAGGAAAGATCACTAAAAAGGACAGTTGGCCCAGCTGTTTGTACTATCATTGGTTCAACAATAGAAAAGTGCCTTTGGTGGCCACTCAATTGGAGTTGTTGGTTTGCTTGTCCGGGTCTTGGGGAGCCTTTGTTGTGAAGCCAAGCGCTGTGCGTACATACTCAAGCTCTTCACGAAGGGAAATGCTGGATTTGTTGTCCGCCCTTCAACATTGCTGTTTAGTTACTTTTCGAATGCTTTGCCAGGTACTCACGTGCTTTGGTAGTTGCCATCCAACAGCTCTAAGACCACGTTCCAAATGCTTTCGGACTGCTTTTCTGCTTAGTTAGTGTCTAGTGTGGTTGTTCGTGCTAATCATGGTCTTTGCAAATGCTTTGACATTGCGTTGACTTTGCCTCAACATTGCTGCCCATCGGGACTCGCGGCAATGGAACACAAAGTCCAATGCGGATTTGCGATCCTGCTACCTGGGGAAAGGATCCAGCAAGGTCACGCGAATTCGAGCACCCCTCTTGGAAAAAGATTCAGCGCAGAGTATTATCCTTGTTTGGCATCTTCGATTTCAACCAAAGCAATGCACACGGCTCCTCAGGTGCTTTCTCGTCAGCCTGCAGTGCTCTGTGTAGGACGTGTCAAGCGTTCCATAACCTACCCAACCTGCAAAAAGTCAAGCATCCGACATGTCTGTGCTTAACAGTGGAGAAAGCTAAAGGATTGATGAAAGCGCACCGAGTGTCAAAGCGATTCCAGCACTAACTCGCAGGCGGACAATTGACTGTCCCTGCACCACAAATCCCGCCTCCTCCGCCTCCGCCTCCGCCTCTGCCTCCGCCGGCTTCGCTGCCTTGTCCTTCAACTTCGAAGGTGTAGCCTGCAGGTGACAGCTGAAAGTTCAATCAACATGCGCCACATCTGAACACACATGTATGTGTCACACCTAGGAATTTATCATTTTGGAGGGTTGCTTTTTGAGGAACATCCACTTGAAACCGGACCAGTCTGGCAGAATTCCAGATTGGATGGATGCCAACACAGTCGTATGCCCACGAGCAGCTCATCAAGCTGTCTCGTGAGCTAGGTTCTTCGGGTCGATCTCAAGCAAGTGCAGGCCTTCAAGTTAATCAAATGCCTGTGTGTGAGACTCTCTGTCCCTGTGCAAACCCTATGTTTACTAGTACCATGTCATGTACTGTGTCGTACGTACGTGAGTGTTTGTGCGTGCGTTGCTATTCCAAGATCGCGTGGAAGAAAAATGCCACTCTGCGGTCATCGTGCAGTCACACTCATGCTGCACAGCTCTCTCCCTGCAGTCTCGGTCCCTGCGCACGGCAGGCCGCCTCCTCTGAGCCATCGCCTCTGACGAATGGGAACGAAACAGCAATCGGCGGAAACAAGATGATTTGACGCAGCTAATCGCAAACAGGCACTTGTCTGAATCGCATTTACGCCTTAGTACGCGACAACATGCCACGCTCATGAACCTGCTGAAGAAACTCCAGGCGACGTACCCATGAAGGGCACCTTTGTCTGCTTCGAGCACAAAGCCGCACAGCGGCTACTGTTTCTTGCAGGACAAAAACAAACTGTTATGCTAGCTTTCTGGCTACTGCAAAGTTACTTTCGGTCAGAATGATTGTAAGACTCAAAAAGGAATTAAGGTGGGAATGCAAAGTGGTTGAAGTGCCTGAATGTCTCCCGAACAAAACTGGCATTGCCCAGATCCTACGTGCGCATTCAATTTACGCCAAGGGGTCAAAGGGCACAATATCACTGCTCGCCTTATTTCCCATAAGTTTGCTAAGATCTTCGAATATCCGCAGAATTGCCCAAGAATGTCTCAATCCTCTCGATTTCTGAGAGAAAAAATCAAGCCTGGCCCTTGATACGATGGCTCAGTTGAGAAGGTCAATTGAAACAAAAACGACATTGCAGCCGGGATTTCTCGCCACCCTTCCCGGCCGCAAACAGCAGCCACAACATATCACGTTGCAGTGCAAGGAAAACACAGGCCTTCCTAAATCTCTAGTGGCTAGCTGCTCTAATAATAACTTGACCGGATCCATTGATTGCATGCGAACTGTGCAAGGTTTGGCATTGCCCTCTCCTGCTTCAACCTTTGCCCAGGCTTACAAGCCCGTATGAGCATCTGGTTTGAATCGACTGGACACCGAGTACAAAGCCGTCCATTTGCCCATCGCCTGGCGGAGCCTTTGGCTTTTTGGCCTGGCATCGCCAAAAGCCCAGCTGACATGGCTCGGCTGCTTCAAGGCCTCCTTCCCTCCTTTGGTGGCCCCTCTCAGTCTAACAAATTGAGGTAAACCTGACAAACGGGGCGACCATGTGTGTTGAATCTTGTAAGTGGGCAAAGCTGACACTCACAGTATTGCCTATATAAGGGGTATGCAAGGGATATGCAACTGGGACAAATCAAGGTTCCAGTCACAAGGGCCCATTAGATTTTGCCTAGTCTGTATGTATGGATGGATGCATGGACGGATGTATAGGTGTGATTGCGTAATTGTGTAGATGCGTAATCACGTAGTGCACTGGGGTAATCATATAATCATGTAATTGTGTAATAATGTAATTGTGCAATTATAGTAGTAATACTGTAATTATGCAGTCTTGTGATCATGCAGTTGTAATTGTCTCATTGCATATTATGCAGCTTGAGTGTTTGCAGTTGCATGTATGTAACTGTGTTTGACTTGTGTGTTTATCAATTGTGCGTATTTTGGTATATGTCATTCATTGTATGAAATGAGTTGCAGTTATTTGATGCAGTCAGTTGTATGTATTTCATTGTGGGTAATCGAGTGTAAGTTATCAACTGTATGCACACTTCGTAGCTTATCAGCTGTATGCAACTCATTGTACGTAATTAAATGTATGTAGTTGATTCTAGATATTATGTATTTATATAATTGTGTGCAAAATGAACGTGCATAATCAATTGTAGCAATTAATTTGTATGTAACAAATTGTATGTGATTCATTGTCTGTAAAATACCACGCAATCGATTGTGGTGCATGCTCCAATTGTCCGCAAATCTATATTATTAATTACAGTGGTCTGTCATTGGATGTATTATGCAATTGTAAATGCAATTGTAATTGCAACTCAAGCGAATACGTCTATGCATGCACTTGTGTAGGCATGCGTGTAGTATAAGTGCAGGCATATGTGCATGTCGGTGTGCATTCGTGTACGTGTTTAGGCATGCAGGGCCGTACGTGTGCATGCATGTGCGCGCGCATGCGTGTATGAGTGCAGTCGAGCATACGTGAACGCGCGTACGAGTGTATGTGTGTGCGCAACTCTGCGAGCATCTGGGCGCACTCGTGTGCATGTAGGCCATGCGTGCATGCAACAATGAATGAATGAACGAACGAACAAATGAATGAACACATGAATGTGAATGTTTCAAAACCGTGTGATAACAATTGCCGTGTGTGTGTAAATATGTATATATATATATATACATAAATATGTATATATGTATATATATATATACATGTATATATATATGCTTACGTATGTGTCTAATATTGTATGACACTAATATGCATTGCATGTATGTAGTTCAAATATATATCATAAATAACTTCGCGCATGTGTGCCCGTGTACAAAGATCACATGCATACATGTATGCAGGACATTTCGGATGCTAGACGTACCTCGCTTAGCATAACTTTGCAGGGGAATCTCAACCCTGCCTTCCGCTTGAGTTCCTTTGGCTCTAGGACTTCATCCTCCTTCTCATCCTGATGGAGTCACTCGTGAGCAAAGCCAGAACAATGTATCAGTTCCCACTCTATCTGGGATGAAGCTGGATAATTACTCAGGCGGTCAGCGTAATGTTCTAGCTGGGCAGGTCCTCATCTCAACAAGGGCGGACATCCCAAACCAATAATATAAGCACAAGCAAAAGGTTCATTCCTGCCACATCATTCGCAGCTGGACACGCCGTTCTCATCAGGGTCTTCAACATAGCCTGTCTACGGATATTCTCGGCCAGCGGTACTTGTTGCTGCCGCTGCGCAACGTCCGCAAAGTTGTGAAGCCTTCCCTACGCTGAATTCCGAGTCTCACTGGCAGGCAATCCGTTCGGGGTGATCGTCGGGTCTCAAGCTCATACCCAATGCCGACGAACTGAATGGGCACAAAAAAAATAGCAACTGTCATACTGAGTCATACACAATGCCAACCGATGCTTGCCAAGTATCCAAGTGCCATTTGAAACACGCAAAACGGTACTCTCGCGTGCGGTCCGCATCCACTTGCGGAACTGAGACGGAGAGGTCAATGTCAGCCTGCCGTCTGGGTGAGCAGCTGAAGAAAACCAGAATGCCCCCTCAAAAGAATCCTTGATATACCAAGATGCAGGAATACAACAGGCAGGTTGCCTCCCTGAAAGCCGTGCAATAGAGAAGCAGCGCTGAGGCCTGAAACAAGCAACCATCTGCCCTCAATGGCTCATGCATGTCATGGCAAATGCCAGGATAGCGCAGGGATCCTCATGTGCTGGTCTTAAGAATCGTGGCAAAGGGGGTCAAGTCCATGCAATTTGGTAAGCTTGCTGCCTAGAGGTTGCTTGACAAAAGTACCAATTTTGCAGGAGAAACAAGGCAGATTTCCTCACCATGGTCACCATGTGCTCACACAAAAGCAAACCTCACGGGTTCTGTCGGCTTGCTTTCAAGCAGCATCGGCACTGACCGGCAATGTTTAAATAAACCTCTTTGAGGGTCATGCGTTCACTGGATTGCACAACGACGAGCTGCCTCACATTGCAAGTCCGTCCTCTTGTGAGCCTTGAACGCACGCCTCCGTCTCTCTGGACAATTCGGTGCACAGGCAGCGGGATCCGTGATTGCTGAAACGCCAGCAGTAAGCTATGTTTGCTCCCTGCGTGCCAATGCAGGGTAAGCCCGAACCAGTGCAACGCAAAAACTGACCACTCATCTACAAGCCCCTCGAAATTCCCAAAAACAATACCGATTGGGTTGCGCCGAGATGGTACAACCCCCCTCGGATTCGGCGGAAAGAAGACGCCGTGGCTTGAGTTCATTCTTTGTCCCAGTGAGTTCATCACAAGTTGGTCGAAAATCGAAAGTGCATCAACTTGGAAATCCCGACCACTCTCAAGTGAACAGCCCGCGGGACCTGGGCGCTGAGCTTTGTAAGACGCTTGCGCCTGCCAGGCTTGCACAGAATTGCAATTCCAGCAAGACTTTCTCTAGTAGGCAAAGTCACGGGCCTTCCATCTCCCACAAGGATCCGACTGTGGTTGGCGTTCGAAGCATGTTCACATTCCTTGCTAAGATAGCAGCGTGAGTTGTGCACTTAATCATCCAAAAACGAGCACACATCTACGCCTTCTTGGGTGTTTTCCAAAAACATATCCGGTCAGCGGCGGGTCGATCCAACAAGCATAGACTTGGGGCGGTCAATTATCACATGGTGCACACTTTAAAATTTATCTTCACAAACGGCTTCCCAGCGCCTGAAATTGACCGTGCGAGCCTGTGTAGGTCTCACCGTCTAGGATTCTAGGGGAAAAGGGGTGTTCTTTCAAGAAGCGCAACTTTTGTCTGGCCACCATAAAATACAAGATGTTTTGTTGTTTTTGGGAAATATCCCGGTCTCTGATGATGCTTCTGTAAAAAGCAAAAAACGCGACACAATATCTGGAATGGCCTCCATGGTGCAATTGAGTTGACATCGCAATCTGGCACCCAAGCAGTTGCGTTTTCCTCCAGTTTTGCAACAGGACAGGCCATGATTGCACAAGCTCAGTTGCAAGCCGAGGGGCAATTTGAGCCGCAAAGGCACGTTCTGCACCTGGCTCGCTGCGACCGGCAGAGATAGTCCTCTCATGTTGGATGCTAAACCAGGTTTAATCGGAACATGCATATTACGATGACACGATGCATGTCCGATATGACATGTTTCGTTTGCAAATGTGTGGAACATCTCATGGCTTGCGTTGCGCAAAGGCGCCTTTCGGCGGAGTTTGGTGTGCCTCCACGCTCCTCTTCCGCCAAATGTGCAGGATAATCGAGTCATGTTGACCTTCTCAGCATGTTGTCTGAAATGCATGTTTTTGAATGTCCTCGCATCATGTCCGACCGTTTCCGTAATCTTATCCGGGCTGTGTGCTTGTTTTACAGGCTCCGCTGGCCCCTTGTTTCATGCAATGTGAGGTATTGTTGTCTTTGATAGCAGTTGTGCGTTTCGTTGAATGTTCTTCACAGCTTGACATGCGCGGACTTCTTGTCACTTAGTGGTTGCCGGTGATGTATTAGCTCTGAAATGTGTTTGCGCAGGCTGTGAATGCTTTGGCGCCCACCAAGCAGCAAAGGGAAACCCTGATTTGCCCAGGTACATGCCTTGTTCCATGGAAGAATGTTGATCATCCAATGTCCAGGGGCAACTGTGACAAGTCCAAAGCGCCGGAGACGGCGCGGCCAGCGTAATGGCTGTGGCAAAATGGTCTATCTCCCCCACTGTCCAATAAGCCTCCAACTCCCGGTTCCATTCCAAACTCCAATGAACCTGAGCGCATTACGTGTACCAAGATTTACCCCCCCCCCCCCCTCCGCCCGTTTTCGCTCGTATCGTTTCACCTTTGGCTCGTTTCACCAAAGGGGCCCGAAGGCCTCAAGCTCCTCCCAGATCTGCTCGTGTTCGAAGCCTGGGAAAGAAGGCACCCCATGCCACTGATCCCAGTTCTGTGACAAAAGGACTGCAAAGGACACATTCAACGGTCCCTTCTTGGTTTCAATCGTACACCTCGACCCTATCGGTCTTCAGATGCATGTTCTTGTTTCTTATCATGCGCTGGTGCGCTGGGCAGCTACGCAACGGATGTTCCTCGCCGCTTGGCAGCGTGGCATAGCAAGAACGTCAGAGGAAGGTCATGTCTGGTAAGCGTCTGCATTGTTTACCCTGGCCCGCCAACTACTCCGCCACGTAGTGCATGGTTCGGAAGCAGCCAAATGATGCAACAGCTAGCAAGTCAGCCGAACAAAGCCAGCAGCAACTTGAGAGTTGTCAAGTTGCTCCATCAGTTCCGACGTCGCTTGTCCATCTGAACACTACCCAACCACTAACATTGCCGGATCATCCAACGCACAACCATAAGAAGACCAATCAGCCCCCAAATGCAAATAGAGAAACATGATGCACACCTTTGGAGTCCTGATGCCAAGGATCTTTCGTCAGGAGGGATGGCTCCCTCAAACTTCCGGATGAATCAGTCCCGGAAGGTAGTTTTAATAGGCACCGCAGTAGTCAAAAAGGGATTTCTGACCCCGAGTTGGTGCCTTTTGTTTTGGTTTCCCTTTGAAACCAACCTGCAAAGCGTACCCCGCCTCAAAAAGTCAGACCCACATCTGGGTATTTGTGTCAAACATTGGGGGGAGGCTCAAAATCGGGCTTCGGCTTTCATCTTTGAGCCAAGGTGAAAAGGCTACCGAGCCCCGAAAACACGGCCACCGCAAAAAGATCCCAAGTCCAAGCCTTCCACCACCAAGTGCTCTAGCCCGGTCTTCACCCGGCTCTGAGCCTGCGAGGTGTGCTGAAGGCAACAATATGTAACAATGTAACCCGGGTGCGAAGGAAACTTTGGTTTTAGGGTTTGAGTTCTCAACATTGCCATTGCCGGGCATCAAGGGCAAGCGGTTGCACGAACAAAGTGCAACGGACTTTGTTTAAGAGTGAACATTGAGAGGCCTGCGCCGCGCAAAAAGTTGCAACAAGACTCCTCCCCAAAAGAAGCCTTGCCGAGATTCGCTTCGGGTCCGCTCTTGTATGCCTCTTATACGAGAGTTAACAAGATACGCAGTAGGCTGGGGAGAGCCATGTAACCAGCTCAAATGGCGTCCCGGTGACTGAGTTTCACGTATAGAAAGTCTGTCCCGTCTGCTTGGTACGCAGAAAACCACGCAGCGCAAACCCAGAGGTCAACTAACCGTCTATCATTATCCGGGACCCCAGCTGGCTTGGTTTTGCTGCTGAATAAGCAATGGGCCAAAAGGATGGGGCCTCCGTTGCGCTCATTCTCGGAGGACGCTCCCAAGTTGGTCGAATCCTTCTAAGGACAGTCCCGTCGTTCAAACATCTCCAGACCGACATTGTATGGGCCATTGGGCCCCTCCTCGCATGCCCCCCCCTCCCCCCCATAGCGAACATCTCCCACAGCCCATCTCCCATTGCCTCTCATATCTCCCGTACTATGAAGTCTACCAGACCAAAGTTGGTTCAACCGGATTTTAATATTTTACACCCGGCCACTCTTGAGGGGGTTCCGAACCCTTAAAACTGGCTACATGGGCCCCAAGCGGCTCACTTCCGAAAACGAAGACGCCGGCCTGACAGGTGTCGAAGAAGAGCTTCACGAAGCCCCGAGCCGCCTGCCGACCAATTTCGGGGGGGGGGGGGTTCGGTGGCTGATCCGTAGGATATTTTAAGTTCTGTATAGCATGTTTAGTCAAAAATCGAGTATCTGCTCTGCAGGCAAGCCAGGTTCAACATCAGCATGAGCTGCCACCTCATTCTCCTTTGCGAAGAGTCCCAAATGTGTGCTTCCTGACTGGCATGAATCTGAATGACGAATCTTTTCTCCCCACCCTGATATAGGGGGTCTTCAAGAACAGAGTGTTCACGAGGCCAAGTGGCTATCACGGTGAAAAGTCCTTCGGACTTTTAGGACTCCAAACAGGAACTGGGAACCTGAGACGCAAACGTTTTCTTCATTCCCTCGTTAAGGACAAGTCATCGCCAGAACTCAACGTAACTCATGAGGATTCTGTGTCCGTTTAGTGCCGATCTGTGGATAGTGTTCAAGGCATCGCTTGAGTATTGCTCAGAGCAATGATCTTTCAGGGTATCGTTGTTTTGAACTACGAGTTGCTGCCACTTGGATACTGAGATGGGTCTGACTGGCAGACTAAGAAAGTGTCGCCACAAATCAGCTTCAGCCGTAGACGTCTACTTGGTGCGCAGCCAGCACCTCTACACTACAAAGTTGCACCTTGAACTTCCCCGAAACTGGCCAGGAAACCAACGACGGTACCCCTTACTTGACCCATGGAAAGCTTGACATCCACAAGGAATCCATCTGGTCACTTGGATGATCACCCATGAACATCCATGAACCTGGTGTCACAAACCAAGCCAAAACAAGTGGTACCTATTGTTCAAGTCGGCAGCAGAAGCGTGATGCGAAATTGGCATTCTCTTGACTGAGTAATTATGTGTGTGTGTGTGTGATGCAGGGAAGATGGTGTTCTCTCACAAAAGCAGTACGTTTTGATAGCGGCATGCAAAGGTCAAGGCTTAATACATCTAAACAAGGATGGAGTTGAAACCTTGAGAACACCAAACTGCTGCCCGTTCCAACCTGAGCGCTAGGGAATTGGCTTAGTAACGTCTTGTTTCAATGCTGCGCCGTCTGCGTAAGGAGTGCAGATACAGTGTGACACCTCTCAATGTTTTGTCGGGCACATCCAGCACTGGATTCCTCCGCATGCTACCCTTCGCTCGGAGCCAAAAAGGGCAATGGGCCGCCTGTCCGGCAACCCTGTCCACTTACCCTTGTTTGCATGACAACGGATGAATATGCACACTACATGTATGGCCAGTCATACCAGTCCACACAGCAGCCATTTGTGCAACCACGCTCTACGAAATAAATACGCTCCTTTCAAATCTTTGTGCTTCTGCGATCTGCTACAAAAAAGACTTGTGGGATTTCTGACAAACCCAACTCTACAAAGCCAAGTCAAAGGAACCCTATGGCTAAGGCGCCTCAGCTGCACGCTGAGCTTCAGTGCTCTTGGGATCCAGCAGCCAGTCGGCCCTGGAGCTCGCACGTCGAGCAACTTAACGGCAAGACCGCGAAAAAGTAGGGCGTTCATCGAATCTAGGCTAGGGTCTACACAGGGAGACAAAGCTGCAAGGCTGCGATCCAAGTCGTTGACGGAGTTCGGTTCCGGAGCTGTCTTGACCGGCAAAGGAAAAATGAAAGTCTCCGATGCCAAAATGGCATTTCATCGCTCCCAGCTGACTTGCCAAAGCAAGAAACAGTGGGTTCCGCTGATCTCCAGTTATCATGGCAACAACGTGGCAGTTTGCTCCAAGATGGAGAAAGTGTATGACCCCGCTGCCCAATCTCACACTCTTTCTGTTTCTTGTCAAAAAGATTGTTTCTCCCGAATGCGGCAGTCAAACGAAGTGTGTGCCACTTGCTTTGGTAGTCGTGTTGGTTCAATTATGCAGCACGCGTTGCACAGGTCACGTTCCCTTGATCATCAAACATCCATCAAACAACAGTTTCTTTAGGTGAAAAGAGTACCCCTAAAAAGAGTTCATTAATGTCATCAATCAAATCGCTCGCTCCCAGTTGAGCTTGTCTCAAAATAGAAAAGGTCCCCCCTCCCCAGCCCTCCCCTCCCACCTCCAAAAGCAGCCCGTTTCCTTCTGGTTTCCCTTCGCCAACAAGAGAACTGTATTACCAGAAATAAGAAGGGCACACGCCCTACACCATCAACTTGAGGCCCTACACCAACCCTAAACACCTCCAGCCAAATATGTTGGGCTTTGTGGCGAGGACTCGCCTGCCAACGATCTGCTGCAGCTCCGAGCTGCATCGCTGCAGCTCCTCGCTAAGCCCGCCTGCGTCAGCACGCGGCGAGGCGGCCAAGAGTGCAGGCCAACCGAGCGAAAAACGCAGCAGGGAGGAGCGACGACCTGGCGACGACCTGGCAAGGGGAAGCGTCCCGTTCAGAAGGCAAAAAGCGCTGGATGTAGGAACCCCAATTGTTTGGAATAGGATGGGGCCGTGTCTTCTGGGAGGTTTTGTGTGTGAGCATATTCTGGTCTGTCAGAAGGAGCAGACCCCAAGACTAAAGAACCCTTGCTGAAAGCTTCTCCTGAACTGGGTAGGACCACCGACAATTACTCCTTTCATGTTTTGAAAGCAAAATGAGATTCAAGGTTAGAGACCTTTCTGGCCCCCTTCAACTGGCATCTATCACGTCAGGGTGGATTCTTCTCCGGTTGAGCCTGAGTTGGGCAGGATCCAACTAACAACGACTCCGTACATCCAAATGTTTGAATGCTTCGGACAGGCCAGCAACCATCATTTTGGGGGCCCTTTCTCCAATAGAAGGAGAAGTATGGGAATATTCGGCCGCCTGCCCGGCTGTCGCCTGTTTGCACCTTAACCCACGGCACTCAAGGCCTCTTGAAGCGCTTCACTCTCGCATGTGTTGATTGTGTGGTTGCACGTAGCCTTCGGCGCATTCAAGGGTGACGTGCCGGCTTGAAGAATGAAAGTGGATTTCACAAGAAGGCAAATAACAAAGATAAAACAAAAACAACCTGGCAAGAAGAGAGGAATATTGAGAAACCAGACTAAGAAAACAGTCATTCACAAACCAAGCAACAAAAGAAACACAAACAGACAGACAGACAAACAGACGGACAGACAGAGACACAGACACAGACACAGACACAGACACAGACACAGACACAGACACAGACACAGACACAGACAGAGACAGAGACAGAGACAGACAGACAGACACACAGACACACAGACTGACAGACAGACAGAGAGACAGACAGACAGACAGACAAACAAACAAACAAACAAACAAACAAAACAGACAGCAAACTAACAAACAGACAGACAAGCAGGCAAACAAACACCCAGGCAGACAGACAGACAGACAAACAGACAGACAGACAGACAGACAAACAGACAGACGAGCAGACAGACAGACAGACAGACAGACAGACAGACAGACAGACAGACAGACAGACAGACAGACAGACAGACAAATAGACAAACAGACAAACAGACAAGCAGACAAGCAGACAAACAGACAAACAGACAAACAAACAGACAAACAGGCAAACAGAGAAACAGACAAACAGACAAACACACAAACAGACAAACACACAAATACACAAACAGACAAACAAACAAACAAACAAACAAATACAAACTCACATACATACCCCAGAACCCACTCCCTTTTGCACACCCGCATGCCCGCAGCATGTCCACAAACCCCTAAACCCTCATCCCTCATGCCCGCTCGCCGGCCCGAACAAACGCAGCATGTGTGCACTCATGCATGCACCACACACACATACACAAAAGCATGATACAACAAAAACACATCACATGCGCACTCACACCCACACAAGTTCACAAACATTGATGATGAAACGCGTGCCTGGGAACAGACTGACAAATGACCCACGCATCGAGTCTGTGTTGTTCAGAAGGACATGCAAAAATTGGGCGGACCCCAAGCTTTTGCAAGGAGCTTAGGTGGGCTCCCCATGTCCCGCCCAAACTTTTTTGTAGACTACCAAACATGCTGTTGCTCAAGTAAGCAAGGGCTGCCTGCTGCCGCCCTGCGACGCTGACACAGTAGGCTAGCATATTGCCGAAATTATGTATATAAATATGTCGCAAACGAGCAACAGCACATTCAACCTGTCATTGCATCATATTGCGCTTATCATTGGTGGCCAAATGTGCCCCCCCCGTCCAAACAAATGCATAGTCCTGCCTATGTCAACCATCGGTAGACGGCCGGCAAGTACACCATATAAAGTTTAGTGAGCTCTCAAATTGTGCAAAAACAAGTCAATTCAACAACAGTACCATTGGTCATCACTGAAACGAGCCATACTAAATGTAATGCGGAGGCACAAGTTCTGTTGAGAAGCACAATTAGACATATGCAAGCTTTTGGTTGGAGGCGTCAGTTTCCGTGTGGGTGGTGAAGCTGTCAGTCAAGGTAGAGCTGCAATCTGAAGTCTCCACATGGAGTAAACTTTGCTTTAAGCCAAATTGCAACAGGACAGCCGCGCTTGCCACTTGATCATGGCATCTTTCATCAGGACTGGACTGACTGATTTGGTTCGTGGACAAAGAAACTCCTTGAACAACTTTTTAGACTGTAGCACTGGGGGTTAAAACTAACTTAAACCAAAAGTGGAAAATCAAGTCCCTGGCTGGCCAATTGCTCGTTAAGGCGCAGGAACTGTCCCTGCAGGATGGGCTTTACATGCCGAGTACGCAGGTCATGGTCTGAAGCGGATTGGACCTGAGAAGCGAAGGAAATCGCCGAGGGCTGTATTCACGCACGCTGAGTCTCTGGTAGGCTTCTGTCAGGCGATTTTTGAGGCAAGCTCATTGAGTCTCCCGAACTCAGTCTGATCAGCCCCCAAGCTTTCTCAATGCAAGAACCCTTCCTAGGTTTTGTAGAATTCAGCAAGTCCCACACTGACAGCTTGTTGTTGCTGCGACAGTATATACTCAGCACATTGAACATCTGGATGTGCAATTTTGACGGATTTTGGGTCGGATGGATACGGTTGACTTTCCTTTGAGCAGCCGATGAATTGCCAGGTCGCCAATCCAATACAAAACACCATCATATTCCAAGGCAAATCATCAATTCCTTTTGACCATCAATCCAACAAGGGAAAGCTGTCATTGATGGTGCGCCAAAGCTGAACCAGCCTGTTGCGGAAGTTGATCGTCAACAGTTTACGACGCATCACAGTCCAACTCTGACTCCAAGCTAATGATACTAATGTTGACGTTTGGCTCATTTATATATACCCGCGCATGTGTCTCAGACAACTTGCCCTGCAAGCTCCACCATGACAAGTGGTGGATGTGATACTCAGGGGTTAGCATTTACAAAAGCATCTGAACCAAGGCAGTTCAAAATATTACAGCGGGGCGCTCTTGGGTTCTGATCAGGCTAAGTAACAGCTGGAGGGCTCTGCTTAGTGCCATTAATGCCTTGCTGGGAGCCGTTTTCTGCTCGAGGGTGAAAGGTACAAACCGAACAAACTACCACGTCACAATGGCACCCATAAGCATGGCTCTACCAACTGGCACGTTGACACTCTGCTCTTCTCCAAGCGAGTGCTTGGCCCAGCGCCCATCTCAAATTCATGCCACACACCTGCGCCATGCAAGGATTTTTCCCAGCCAATCCACAGGCTGAGACCTCACGGCTTCACGATGAACCAGGATGGAGTCACATCTTCCGTAGTAGTCACCACCTTCGATCTCTCGCGCCCGACTCGTTTTGCAGGGAGCGCTAGAGGCCTTCCCAAGTTTGAAGGCCTGATGGTGAGCAGGAGTCCAAAAACATGCAGAATCAGGATCCAAGCGCTGCTTTGGCCACATCCCAACCTCCACGCCCGCCCAGTGATTTGTTCTGCCATGCCGGCATAGGCAGTTGTTTGGATGTCGCAAAGTAAAACGATGTCTCGAGTTTGGAATGGCTGACTTGCCTCAGAATTCTTGTCAACACCAAAGGTTCTCGGGACCTGCCTTTTGGGGCTCAAAATCCACGGCGAGAAACTGGCTACGATTGGGGTCTTCCCTCAGGAGACTGTATCCCATCATTGAGATCTGTGCTGGAGAGTTTTGAGCTATGTTTGAGCCATGTTGAGCCCTGGAGTGATTCAGCAAATAGGGATTTTGTTGTCAGAAACGTGCCTACTTGCGTCACCAGCGGGCATCCCTGCCAAAGTCATGGGCCTTTGCTGACCTGTCAAAAACCACTAATTTCAAATGTTCCCATCACATCTTGTGCAGTTGCCTGGCGATGAATTTCAAGAAAGGACCCTTTGATGGACATCATTTAGGTGGGGATGCATGTCCACCAATCACTTTTTAGGTGGGTCCCAAAGCCACCTCTGCTCGACTCCCAGTCGGGAGGCCTGCAATTGTCTTTGGGCGGCGAACTTGTCCACGGCGCTCCGGACCTGAAATGTGGTCCGCATGCAGCTGACCCGGAAAGAGGTGGTTCATCCAAAGGCATGGCTTGCCGCTGAAAGCCGCAGGAGACAAAGCATCCAAGTCCAAGCACATTCACCAGCATCGCTCCCCCATGTTCTTTCGAAAAAGATCGGGCAAGATCGTTGGAATAAGAAGCAGCCGAGCAGACCAACTTCTGAGGCTTGCACCTGTATCCTTCTGGCAGGATCATCCAAGTAGGTGCTACCTGGACACGAGGCACTTGGCAGCAAGGGACTGGTCACAAACGCGAACCGGCAAAGCGACAAAAGTGCCCGACGCGGCTGGACCAAGCTTTCTGAGTTTTGGCTGCAAAGGAGTTGTACCAAACCAGCTCAGAGTGACACGGGTGTGCACTTTTATTGGACATCGTTCATTTAATTACATGGTGATTTATCTCCACCAACCATTGTGAAGGGATCCCGATTGAAATTGATAGCCATACAGCACATGATGACACAAAACATGCGGCTACGAACAAGTCGACCGTGGTAGCTTGAGCTGTTTTGCTTAAACCCCTTGCCGCAGACACTGCAAAACTGGTCCAAACAACTTAACGGCAGCCTCGAGCCGGGGTTGTTTCGCAAATTGTGGCACGACCATGTCTCCGTTGGACACGAAGGAATGGACTCAGGGCGGGCTGTGCTGGATCCTGTCTCAGCGCAGAACATGATACATGATGATCATGTGAACACACGTTTATGTTGGCTGCCAAACGGCTTGCCCAGCTAGTGATTCCCAAAACTGGGAGCTCCGACGTTCAAGTATGGTTGGTGAATCTTGGCGCAAATGTTCGCACTGGCCAGCCACAGGAGGGGGCTCGCCCAATTTTACCCGGCCCATCTCGAACAAGTCTTGGCAAAGCGAGAAGGCGAGCCTGCCATGACCCCACCAGAGGCCAGGATGGGCCACCAAAGCTCCAGGTCTCTGGTGACCTGGTCGCAAGTTGTGAGGCTGGCAGCTAGGTGGCTTCAGCGTGAGCTCGGCGGCCAAACGTTGGCTGGTGGAATGTGTGAGGATGAACGAACACGGTAGCAACCTTCGTGTCACATAATGAACAACATGATGCTGCTCAGCCAAACAAAGTGCGCAAGCGCTCGGCAGAATTTGCCTAGCTACCATTGCAAAAAGACATGGGCCTTGCTGTATGCCGTGCACCTATTCACTCTGTGGGCTCCATTCATAGGTTTTACCAAAAGCTGGATCTCCATTGAGCTCAAAGTTGCAGGTATGATTGGCAAGAATGATTGTGCTGTTCAATTCATTGAACGATGACATTTTGAGAGGCCTCAGCTAGGTCTGTGGCCTTTAGTCAGCGTTCCTTGCATGACAGCAGTTGGACTTCGCTCCACTGTATCACAATTTCCGCTCTGTAACATCAGCGCCTGATGTTGCAGACCCTGTGTGCCTACACATACAAAAGGCGGCAAACGGCGATGGCCAACTTGCTTTTGGACAGCTCTCCCATGCCGACATTCCCCGGTGCTATGACAAGTTACCGAGCTCCACGCACCTAAGAACGCATGCGGAACCTTTCCCAACGCGTTCATCCCCCCAGCGCACCGCTTCCTCCGCATGGTTGGCATCGATGTACACGAGCCTGCAGTTGTTACAAAACAAAAGAACTTGTGTTTTGCCATCAAATGTGCTTTAAACCTTTGAGGGCTTGCACTGGAAAGCCGAGCTTTGGGTTTGCGACGGCCTCGGTTGATGTTGGATGCTTCTTGAAGGGTGGGGTGACAAGGCGAATATCATCCACAGTCTGCCAGTATGGCCTCGCCGGCCACCAAATATCATCATTGCCACCCTCATCAGCATTAGCAGCATCGCCATCACCATCAGCATCGCATCATCACATCATCACCAGCACCATCACACACCAACATCCCCATCATCAGTGTCACCATCACCATTGTCATCGTCATCGTCATCATCATCATCAGCAGCAGCAGCATCATCATCGTCATCATCGTTGTCATCATCATCATCATCATCATCATCATCATCATCATCATCATCGTCATCGTCATCAGCATCGTCATCCTCCTCCTTCTCCTCATCATCATCAGACCATTAACACAACCATGGTCATCATCATGGTCATCATCATCATCATCATCATCATCATCATCATCATCATCGTCGTCATCGTCATCGTCATCCTCATCCTCATCCTCATCCTCATCCTCATCATCATCATCATCATCATCATCATCATCATCATCATCATCATCATCATCATCATCATCATCATCCGCAGATGCGCTATTGAATATCATTCAATACCTTAGTCATGGAAGAGTCTGGGCGGCAGTTTAGAATATAACACTGCTGCGGCAAGCAATGCTAAAAGCCTCTTGTGTGTCACACACACACAACTTACGGGGAAAAACATGATATGTGTTGGTCACGCTGCGCTTCGCCAACTTTCGATGTTGACAAAGGCCCGGGGTGCAAAGTACATACATGTCAAATAACTACGGGCTTGTCCTGAATACTGCAAAAGCTGCTCTCCAGTATTCATCTAGTGTGACTCAGAAAGCGCCCAGAAGAAGGCAAGAACGTGAACACAAATGCTGATTGCTCGATGCGCCAAGAGTCACACGGATGTTTGAACCAGCATTGCTATAACATCCTGTCAGATTCTCAGGGAAGCTGAGGTCGAAAACTGCCTGTGCGCCGCACGTGGCGACGCCCGGCGTCTGCTCTCCCCGGCGGTAGGTCTCCGCAAAGGAGTAGGAGAAGTCCCGCACCTCACGCGAGCCGGCGAAGGTGAGGTTCGAAGCTCCGAAATGGCTGTGTCTTTGGCTGGCTTCAGTATCTTCATTCACATTGTGCCAATTGCTCAATTGCCAGCCCCTAGCAATCCTGGACACTCCGAGCTTGGGGCTTTGCTCGGAACTGCCTCCTCCAAGTCGTTTTTCCCATGGCCAGGCAGCAAAAGCAAAGTCAAAACCAGCAGAATTGGCACTCATTCTTGCATGTACAAAAGGAGCTGCAGCAGGGAAGAGATAAAGAACACTTCAATCAGTCAGCGCGTGTGCGTGTGTGATGGTATATAGCCCAAGTACCAGCTTTCCTGCCGACCAATGTGACCGTTGCTGTTGTTGTATTCTTCAAATACGCTACAAATTAACAAGGTCTAATTTTCTCAGTATTGACTCTTCAAACTTTCAGTAGCAAACACACGTCTTGAACACGCCAATGACGACCAGCCAGCCAATGACTTTGTCAACAATAGCACATCATGCTGTGGTGGCTTTGCTTCGATAAGCTTGCAGCATCTCATGATGATGACAGTGAAGCCGGGTTGCTCAGTGGCGATCTAGAAAGCTCTCTTTGTTCACAAGCGAAAACGACAAAGGTTTAAAAACCAAAGGCATTCGCGCATCGATCACATGCAAACAGTATCAAAGCGCCGCCCAAAACGCCGAGGCGGTCACCAGGACGTAGCGGCCCTCGAAGGGCTCAAGGCGGTTCCGCAGGTCCTGCCAAGACGATCGCATGCTGAAACGCTGTCAATCCACTCCTGTCACTAAACATTCCACGGTTTCACATGCCAACGCACACATCGTTGTTCAAGTTGCAGGCATTAAGTAACAAGGGCGCGGTTACAAGTACTTGTTCACCAAGCAGCACAAGATGCACTCACAAACACACGAGTAGGGCAAGGCAATAGTTTCGCGTGGGACATTCAAGGCGAGTTTCATCCCCATGCTAACCGCGTGATGACATTGCATGGGCATGTAAAGCTGCTGGTTCAATATCTGGCAAAGGCCCGCTTCATCGAAGCCTGTTGATGAATGAAGGCACTGTCTGCCTCGTTTATCAAATCAGGAATCCGAGACATAGAACTCACACAGGGACAATGTGTCCATGCAAAGGTTGGGATTCAACAAAGGCAGCTCAGCTCAAGTCGAGGACTGGTTGCACCCCTGCTGTGTTTGGATGTCCCAGAATCAAAAAGCCCCTTGTGAAGGGTCTTCAAAGGGCCGACAGGAAGTGGAAACAAAGCAATTTCAGGGTTCCCCTGGAAAACAAAATCATGATTTGACGTGCCTGCTCTAGCGCTGTAGCCCCACATGCAGGACATGATCTTGCTTCCTCTATCTTCCGCATTTGTGCTGGCTTCTGGACATTCCGGAACGTCCTCGAAAATCATCTGATGCTCGTTATCCTGAAGATTGGCAGGATCATCATAACCCCGCCACTGGTGGATGAACGGGTCGACCAAGTACCTGGCGGCACGTTTGTCAGCATCAACATCACCTGTCTTGCACGGCGTCCATCATATGATCTGACTGTGAGTTGCATGCTGCTCAACCCACGTCCAAGTCTGCATTTGCGGAATGGTGAGCTCCTTCCCTTGTGGTGCACTTCTGTATAACCTTCATGGGAGTGAAAGAATGTTCTAATCTTGCCTTCTGGTCCGTTCTCATTGTCTTTGTCCGAGTTGTCCTTCTCAGGCATTGCAGGGTCCGCTTGGCCCCAACCCTTTTAGACCGTGCAAATCGTGGGGTGTCCAAGCTAATCAGCCCAAAGCAGCAAGTCTGAGTCCGCGATCTTTCACGGAACCCCAGTTGCTGTCAACCGAAAAACCGACAAATTGTGACCCTTGGCGCAGCTCACGTCAAGGGAACCGTCCCATGTCTGGGGCCTCAACATTTCTGTTCTCTCCATCTCCCGGGCGCACAGCCCGTGAGCTGAGGACCAGTCTTGCAGCAGCCGCAGAGCAAAGTCGCCCCGGCCCACACCCAGCACCACCTTGGGCGAGGTTCTACCTGTCCGTCTAGACTTTAAGAGGACATTTGGGTGTCTCTCAAAATAGGGGACCCCCCACAATCGTGGTTTTATTGTTGCTTCCTCTTTCAGAGCAGCCTAGAAAGGTACCCTCAAAAAAAATACCAATTTCATTTAGGGCTCGCTTGGTGGTCCAAGTGAAGTGGTCTGGTTCGACTAGCTCTCTTCAGTCCGATCGCGTTGCCCTTGTGTCACGGTTTTTCGAGCCATAGTTTCATCACTTTGCTCCTTTGTCCTTTGAAACCGGTGGTACCACTGGTTTGCGGGGAGGGTCTGGACAAGACAGCTGTCGCTGTCCCAAACAGAAACTCCTACAGAACTGCCCTCGCCTTGCTGTTTGTCCGGAATGTTTGCCAAATTTAATGAGAAGGGGGCAGTGTCAGGGATCCCCTCAAAAAGGAGACCTGCTCGTCAACGCTGGTCGTGTTGCACATGCCTGTCCTTCCCCCCCCCCCAAAAAAAAAAGCGGATCATCTTTGCGAGAGCTGAGGTGACCTGATGCATGAATTTATCTGCTGGGATCAGATTTGGATTTTCAGGGTTAGGGAAGGCCAGTAGACCTGGCCCAGACTTCAAGGGCAGTCTAGTCAGCCGCCGCAGCCTTCTACAGACCGCGCATGGCCATCCAAAACCAAGAAGCGTGAAACACATTGACGCACAGTGATCCCCAGGCTGCACCAGTTGTGATTGATTTGGCTTTTCCTGTGGTGAATGCGCAAGACAATGCCAAGTCACACATGCTTCGCCTGGCAATTCCTGGCCTTCAAAGCCGACTTCTAAAAAGACTTCATGACTTCACGGTTCTTGCAGCCTCACCTTTAGGTAACTCATCCCTCTAAAATATACAGCACGGTTCCTTATGGGGTGGATTTCTTGCATGAGGTTGGAAAGTGAAGTACTTCGAAGTCCGAAGGCTGAGAGGCTTCGCCGGGGATTCCCAACTGGCCTTGGGCAATTCGAATCGAGGCAGATTTGGCCTCTGCAAGAATCCAGTGGTCAAAATATTGTGCTGTTGATGGTGAAGGCAAACATTCGTGGCATGCTTGGGATGTGTAGTCAGGTGAAGGGGATCCTCCAGCGTCGAAAAGCCAAAGCCAGGAGGCTCAGCATGACCTGACTACAAACACTTTGGAACGGGTCCCCTTCACGGCGCGCGCTGCTTGTTGCCACGCAATTGCACTGTTGAAGGCACTAGACGACATTTCAGTCGAATTCACTGGCCAAAAGCCTGTACAACTAAAGACGCTGCCATGTTCAGCCTGCTGGTTGAGGACCAAACATCGCTCATCTCCAGTACGGCACGCCGTAGGGTGAGGCATAGGCGTAGGGGTTGGGCGCACCATAGGGCGAGTAAGGATTCGAGGGCGGCGATGGCCCGGGGATTCCTGGGTATCCCGGGGCAACGTAGGGGGATGCCAAGCTTTTTCCGCCCGCGCCAACCTTGGACCAGTCCACCTTGGACCAATCAGTGGTGGCGCCCCAGCCATAGTTCTGGAACACCTTGCTCCAGTCCATCTTCGTCCAATCCTCGGAAAGCTGGGAAGTAAACATCACAAAATCTCGATCTCCAGATATGTCCTGACTGGTTCAGCAGAGGGCATCACAGCAGAAAACTCCCAATGCCACTCTGATACACAATATACCTCTGCAAGAAGCTCCATTTGCAGTGCACTAAACAAACGGTGCGACATCATGATGGAGCTTAAGGCTGGATTTGCTGCCTGGTCATAGCAATAAGAAAACATTCTTGCCTCGAATCGAGCTCCAACTTTGTTTTGATGGAAAAGACTTCTGTTCTACTATACCATGTCCTTTCTGAACTCCTGGTAGCTCCTTACTTAGCTCCCTCTTTAAAGGAGAATTTGGATACACCCAGCTCCCTAACGGCTCTCCAACCACCAGCTGCAGTTGCGGTGCCGTTTTGGACCAATCCACGGTCGAGGCCGAAGGGTTGGTTGTGGGCTCAAGCCGGGGCGTGCACTTCCCATTCTGGGAGAAGAAGCCCTCTGCGCAAGTGCACTTGTACGTCAGGCCATCGCACTTGGTCGGCCCGCGGGAGCTGTCCTCGGGACTTGGTATTGAGCGAAGGGGCAAATGCGGAAGGAAAAGCAAAGCTCTGACGAAATATAAGCCTGGCAAAAACAATGAGAAATGGGAAAAGAAGACCTAGTGGCTTTCGCCAAGGGGCGCAGCCGAAGAACATGCAGCTGCCCCCAGTGTCGCGCTCCTGCGCGCTGGTGTGGCCCAACTTGTAGCCCGTTGGCAGGGAGCACTTCCCGTCCTTGGCGCACCTGAGGTCGCCATCCCGCGGACTGAGGCGAGTTGCTTCAGAGGAATCCGGCAATCCCGAAGAAAGCTGAACATCTTCCAGGGAAAGATCGTGGGTGTTGCGGATTCAAACCCCCTCGAAAATGCCAAACAAGTGTGTTGCTGCTCGCAATGGAGGACATGCCGTGGCTTGGGAGTGTTTAGCACCTGTTTCTCTAGACACGACCCTGCGCTGTTTCTTGTCAATAACCTCGCGGAATTGACAACTCTTTGTGCTCACCCGGAGAAGCAAGATTGGCCTCTGAAATCTCAGCACTGCTCAAAGAACGAAAGGAAACTATTTTATGGTGCAGTTCCTAGGGTGCACCGCAAGCCATCTGCACACCCGTGCCAAAAATAAGGAGAGATCCCATAATTACGCTGCAAAAGCAATGAGGCACGGTCAAAATTACTTGGTTTCCCCAAGAGGACAATGGGAAGCTTGGGTAATCATCCGCCTGGGTTTTGTGGGAAAATTCAGTTCCCTCATGTCCCTCCCATACGAGCCACAAACCACTGGAAGTTGACCGAACCTTAAATGGGTTGTTTGCATTCAACCGGATGCTGCCACGGCACATGTTGCCCTTACAAACGCACTTCCCCTGCACGCACTCCGAATTCCGAGAGGCTGCGCAATCCTTGGCCACTGGCTCTCTCTCTCTCTCTCTCTGTCTCTCTATCTCTGTCGCTCTCTTGGGGTGTTGTGTGCGTGTTCGCTGACATGTCCTTTTGGGGGATGGTCTCTGAACGGCTCCGTCCCTCAAATGTCCCTCGTTTCCAAGCTGGTTTGACAGGAAGTGTCCATTAAGGGCAGTCCAAGGATCGAACCAGCTGCAGGTGCCCTTGGTGTCTGTGTCGCAAAAACCAGCTTCCTGGTGCTGCTCCGCTACCTGCTCACCGGCGGCCTGGGCTGAAGGCTTTGGCCCGCAAGAGGGGTTAGCCTTCCCCTCTATGCTTCTGTCATCCAGGAAGCTTTATGAATGAAACACATGGCCTTGCAAGTCTACAGCTGTCCCTCCAAAGGAATGTAGATATATATATATATACGCATAATATATATATATATATATGTATGTATGTACATACCTACAATATATGAATTATTGGATCCGTAGGGGGGGGTACCATGTAGACATATAATTATACGAGTACACAGACTTCTGGAAGACGTGAGACACGCATGACACGCACACAATCAAACACACACGCACATATCACCGCTGTATGCCCCGGTGACCGCTGAATGCCCCGCCTTGCTCGCCTTGCTCGCCTTCACCTCCACATCGTGCGCCTTCTCATGCTCCAAGTCGCTGGTCTTGGAGGCATGTTTCTGCAGCGCCTGCAGCGCACAGTCCCCGAGCTGGCACTGGGCATCGTCTGGCAGCTCTTGCCCCAAGGCTGCCACCACAAGCAGAAAGCAGCGCATGGAGCGCATGGCCGAGGGAAAACCTGGAGGTAGCTTGAACCACTGTGACAGCAATGACCGCGCATTAAATCGAGAAGAACCCGGCAATTGGGTCCGGTCCTTGGGAAGTCTCCTAGTCCGAAGCCGCTCCAAAATGTACACTGGCTTATCTTGCAGAATTCACTCCCATGGAGTGAGGCGCTCCATAGCTGCTTGCAGGTCCGCTGAAAATGAATATTTTGGTGAGCCACGTACCGCATGCAGGAATCCTTGATTCATAAAGCTTTCCAAAGATGTATGTTCAGAAGGATTCCCTTGGAAAAACAACAGGACAGGCTATGAATCAGGGGTTTGCGCGTAGTGAATCGAGCAGAACGCAACCCTCAAGCAGACCGGTCCGAGCCCCGGCTGATCCGCGCGACTACTCCGCCAAGCTGCCCCAAGACCCCGCGGCATCTGAGCCTGTGGGAAGCCGAGAGCCGTTGGGCAGCCGCTTCTTTTTGTGGCCCTGCCGTCTGTTCTTCGAAAGCGAGAAGAAACAAGTGGCATTTACAGGTTGGGGAAACAACCTGGCAGCTGGCCAATTCACAAAGATCTTGGCGAAAGCGAAAAATGGGCTGTCTCGTCACGTCCTCCACATGAAGCAGTCTATCACTTCGCAATTCCGATGAAGCTTTCGAGTCAGCAACCATTCATCGCATAGACTCATGGCCTGTCAGCAACATGGTCTGAGGGGTCTGAGTTCCGCTTTCAAGCTATAGCTTCAGATCAAAACAGCTTACACATGTCACATTCTCTCACACACACACATGCTGAAGAACAGGGGACATATTTGGCTTGCCAACAAGGCAAAGCTAAACATAAGACGCCAAGGCTGACAGCTATGGCTGAGTGTCACTTTAGGGTTGGGAACGCTGGCTGCCTTCCTCCCTCTATGAATAGCAACTAACTTGCCCGGCTTGTGAGGTTGTGCAACTGACTGGAAAACATCGGGGTCAGCACGTGGGATGCACAGGATTGAGCCTCGTGTGCCGGGCTCGCCATTTTGAGAACGCCAAACGCAAGACGGATCAGCTTTCCGGGCAGTGTCCATGGCTCTTGCTCCTTGGGCATGCACTACCTCCAAATGAGGGGGGCATGTTTCCCTTTCTGCCAAAAGGGGGGCGGAGCAAGGCAAAAGGGTGAAAGGCTCTCACATGCTCTCTGTGTTGTACAGTTGCGCCTTCTGTGAAGAATCTCCGCGCGATAGCCATCGTTTCCGGTTGGCCCTTCTGTCTTTAGTGAGCAACCCGTAAAATCCTAGTGGACAACCACGCTTGATATGAATATGCGTATATACATGTACATGTGTGTGTGTGTGCATATTGCAGTGCACGGTAACGATCATACATAGCAGTGTAAAGAAACAATATCAAGATGTCGAATATGCATCACACATTGGCCGTTTGTTTGCATGGTAAGTGGGCCAATGCGCAAGCCACGCCTGCAAAAGCCTGCCCAACTCGTCTCGGCGCGCCAGCGCCTCGCGCGAGAAGGAACCCATCATTTTGGGAGTCCCGCTTTGCCCCCCAACCAAGTCGCTGTCCCGTTTTTCGGGAAAGGGAACCCTCAGGCATGGTTGGGCGCCTAATTCTGAGACAGCTGAAACAAGCCATCTGGACACAAACGATTTTTATTTGATTCCTGCCCTGTCAATAAGCCCTTCATCGTGCTCGCCAAAGGCCTACGATATTCCAGCTCAAGGACATCCATGCACCCAAACGCATCCCAAGGATGTTCACTGACCGCCGGCGTCTAAGTCTATATGGGGAGGATTGGGGAGTGGGTCAAGCTACATCTTTTGCAGAGCACGTACTGAAACTGCCTCACAGCACTTTTTTGAAGCAGCAGCCTAGAGGATCTAGCTTGAAGTGGCACATGCTGCCCTGTCTCCACACGGGTGCCTGCGAGCCGGGTGCCTGGCGCAACGAATGTTCGCACTTGAAGAAACACACGGATTAAGCATATGCAGTGGAAAACAATGCAATTCAGTCTTTGAGACGAGCTGCAGACGCACCGTCTGGAGACAAGAAGTGTGGCCCAATGCAAACGCTTCTTCTCCCTCAGCAAAACAGGATGCCTGGAGTTGAGAGCATTGTGGGGCAAAGCTGGCCACTCAAATCACGCCTCCAGCCTCCCTTGCATCATTTGCCCGAAAACTGCCCGAAATTGCAGAGGTCTGAGCCTCAAGAACCAATTCTTATTTATGTGTACATATTTATGTGTACATATTTATGTGTACATATTTATGTGTACATACTTATGTGTACATATTTATGTGTACATATGTATATATATATATATATACTTCGTATATTGGAGGCAGTCCATTGCCACCGTTTTCTCAAGTGCCATTCAGAAGAGAGCTAAAGCTCAGAGCCGATCAGCCTGTTGCCATTTCGAGCTGCGGGTCAGTGAAAACCCCGCGCAAACAACCTTGGCTCCATACAAGTCATGACGCCCTTTGTGCTGGTGACTTTTTGTAGACTTCTAGACAGAGCTGGAAAAAAAAAGAGAAAAAAAAACACTAGATGGCTGTTCATTCGACCACTGCACTGCCACAAATGAGTCAGTGGGTTCTCGCATGACGCTTCTGTGAAGGTGACCTGCTAGCCTGTTGACCATCTAGGTGTTGACAAATGAAAGTCCGCAACGTTCGCGCGCGCAGTGCGTGACGTTCAGCATGCCATCGTTGAATTGTTGCTCGCCAACCACAACATGCTTATTTTCCTTCATGACTCCGATAATGCAGCTGTTTTCGGCAGATTTGGAGTTGTGGATGTTATTCGCTTTTGGACTGTCTTCGGACTTGGTCAGCGCAGGTCTTGGGTTGTTTTAGAGTTTGATTGAGGGCTGGCATTGGATTGGTTGTGGGGCCAATGAGTTGGTACTGAAGTAGAAATTGGGATTTGAATCACAACACAGTTTTCTTGAGTTTGGGGACAGTTCCGCAGCTACAACTCAACTCAACCAACAAACCAGACAAGAAAGCCCACCCAAGATGGCCCCTATCCGAAAGGAATAGCCTCTATGAAACCGGAATGAGAACTCTGAGCAATACTAATGACGTCAACATGCTTTCTTCTGGTGCCAGAATCCATCAATCGACTATAGTTCCACACGACCTTCAAAACTCCAATTGTGGGAGGCTCAGCGGTCCAACGTCGCCAACAACCGAAGCTCCAAAACTTTTACCATTCAGGTGCCCCATGTCCCTAGGCAAAATCTTTGCGCCGTCCAGGCGAACCTGCGGGGCAGCCATGCCGGACGCCATGCCGGACGCCATGCCGGACGCCATGCCGGACGCCATGGGCGGCTGGCCAGGGGGCACCTCCACATGCGAAGCTGGGATCGACCTACCCTGATCCAATCCGGGAGAAAGGCCCATCTTAGTCAGAAATCCGCTCTTGGGACACCTCTGATTAATAACTGGGAAGGTTTAATAGTCGGGCTGGGGAAGGTTGGTTTTGCGCGAAGCGCACTTGGCAAGAATCAACGCACCTGGAGCTTGTTTCCAGAGCTAAACCCCAGCGGCACGCACATCTTTTCCTGGCTACATGCCCCCTTGTGAGAGGGCACCGCCGGTCTCTTACAGCATGAAGTGGATGCTGCTTGCAGCGGACGCACTCCTTCCTCAAACCAATTCGGGTATCATTTCTGGGGACCCTTTGGAAGACATGATGTACATGGGCATGCCTGTCCACGATTCTGAGGGTGTTCCCCATAACATTCTTGGCCAATCCGAGGTACTCAACCTAGCAAGTCACTCAAAGCACCGCCCCCAACCCAAAGAAGAACTCCAGATCTGTGGTTTCAGCAGGAGAACGAATCCGAAACGGAATGGATATACGTACAACTAAGAGGGTTGTGGAACGGATGTATTTCTTCAGCTCTGCCCTTCTCGCCCGGCCTGCGGGGGAGACTGACGAACCGGCCGAGGCGCCTGCAAAGTGCGCATAGCCATGCGAATGTGCACCATGCTCTAGCGAGGCCGGATTTGCGAAGAAAGACAAGCCCAAGCTACACGCTGGACCTGTGACACAGCCCGCAGCCTACAACAGGCGATTTTTCTTCAACTGGAAAGGCTTCGCGGCAATGGGAAGGAGGTGGATTTCGGGCAAGGTGACCAGCGACTGGCAATAGTACAGGTAAGCAAACTGCTAAGAAAAATGGACGCCCTGGAGCCGCGCGCTGACCCGAGCTAAACATCATCAAAGGAAGTTTAACAAGAAACTTCCGTAGTACTGGAACTAAATGAGCTAGCTGCTTTGACATATAGCTATGACAGGTAGCTAGCATGACAAATAGATAGCTTTGACATATAGCTAGCTTGACAGATAGATAGCTTTGACATATAGCTAGCTTGACAGATAGATAGCTTTCCAATAGGCTTGCATGACAAATAGATAGCTTTGACATATAGCTAGCTTGACAGATAGATAGCTTTCCAATAGGCTTGCATGACAGATAGATAGCTTTGACATATAGCTAGCTTGACAGATAGATAGCTTTCCAATAGGCTTGCATGACAGATAGATAGCTTTGACATATAGCCAGCTTAACACGTAGATAGCTTTCTCAAGTATAGATTTCGTGGCAGGCGCAGCACTTTCGCAAGCACTCTCTGCGAGCTGGGGGATGGCAAGATGCAGAAAACGTTGGCGCTGTGCGTGAATTGGGCTTCCGGACTGTGCGCAAACCACCTCGGCTGCGACGCCTGTACGGAGGCGGTCTCGGAACGGTCTCGGAACGGTCTCGGAACGGGCCCATTGGCACGGCCGCGCGAAGGTTTCGCAAGGTTTGAATTGCGTGGCAGGCGCAGCACTTTCGCAAGGTCAAGTATAGATTTCGTGGCAGGCGCAGCACTTTCGCAAGGTCAAGTATAGATTTCGTTTCGCAAGGTCAAGTATAGATTTCGTGGCAGGCGCAGCACTTTCGCAAGGTCAAGTATCGATTTCGTGGCAGGCGCAGCACTTTCGCAAGGTGCTGCGTCCACTCTCTGCGAGCTGGGGGATGGCAAGATGCAGAAAACGTTGGCGCTGTGCGTGAATTGGGCTTCCGGACTGTGCGCAAACCACCTCGGCTGCGACGCCTGTACGGAGGCGGTCTCGGAACGGTCTCGGAACGGTCTCGGAACGGTCTCGGAGACGGGCCCATTGGCACGGCCG